CTAATTGTATCATACTTTACTACAAATGAGCTTACATCATTATAGTTCACATCTTTACTTTTTTCTTGCGGTAAACCTCTAGCAATCAATTTGAATTTAAAGATTGTACTCTAATCATTTGTTAGATTGTCATTCAACTTGTATATCCATTTGCAATTAATCAAAGTTTGAATTTGTCAAAACTCCACTATCTATTACATCTTGTTATTAACTGCATCTACTTTTTCATAGCAACATTTCACTCAAACTTATTAATAAAAGCCTGAGCTTTTTCATCAAAAGAATGCTTTTTTTCTTTTAAAATCAACGTAGTGTCATCATCATCATCGATATCACTATCTTCAAGATGAGATGAATCAACAAATAATTCATATTTTGCCAGAGCTCTTCTAATTTGATTTGGTGATTTCATTTAAAAAAATTTGGGTTGATCTCTATTATTTGATGAAAATATTAGAGTTTCATCAACAATAAACTGCTACTTTATAAATTTGTTCATTTTGTTCCAAAATGTTCATGCTCTTCATAAATTTGTTCCATCTAATACAAATTTTTTTCGGGTGTTACATCATTATTTATGTGATGATCAATCTTATACTTAACGATTTTTCATTGTTAGTAGTAGAAGTATGAGAACTCTTTTACTCTTCCAATGATCTTGATTCATTGAAAAATACATCATTGTTGACAAAAACTTTAAAAACTATTTGGTTCCATAGCCTATAATCATTCACATCTCTAGCTTATTCAAATTAACGTCACCTCTTGAATGTAAAATCCAACTTGATCTTATTTGAATAAGACATTCAACAAAACAATTTCAAAAAATTATAATCAATAATATGGTTGTGTTTTAATTCAAATGGTGTCAAGAAATTGGTTGCATTAGAAAAATATATATATATCAAATTTTGGACTGAAACTATTAAGATTTTCAGGCCAAATTTCATACTATATATCACATTGTCTCATACATACTAAGCATCTTCTTCAACGTTATTTGATTAAAACTCTTAGAAACAACATTTCATTGCAAATTATAAATCTTGGTGAAATAATGCGTAAGAATTTCTCCAAAACTACTCAAAAATATATATTCCAACATTATTTGTACGTAAATATCTCACATTGTCTCTAATATGAATCTCAACTTGAATTGTCCAACTTTTCAACACCTCAAACTTACGTATGATGAAAAAAAAATCACACAAACCTTGATTAATCATCTATAGCTAATATATAGTAAAATTGTCTAAAGTATAAGGTTTTTGGAAAGTGATTTCACACGTCATTATACACATAATCAAGTAACTCTGTGGAACTAAAGAATTACTTTTGATCTTGGCCTTTGATTCGGTCCGAACAAATGATCATGTTCCACTACTTTCTTGTCCAGCGGTTAGTTTTTAGTTTTTCCCACTTCAATTTCCTCATTCTTTGTATACTTCTAGTTTGTGCTTTAAGGCTATGTGAACAATTCAATTCTACTTCTTAAGAGATCGATATTTAAGCTAAGATCTATCCTTATTGATCATCATTGATTAAAACCGATTGAAAAAACGAGAGCTATCAATTCTCCATAATAAATTTATGGACAGTTACAAAATCTCATTAATATGAATAGTGAGATTATTCATATGCAAATCACAATGATAAATGCTGCTAGTCCAAATGCTGCCAGTCCAAATCAAATCCCAAAAGTGATTGCAAACCTTGCACAAGAAGTAGAGGTAGATTTGTAAACCAAGAAAGAAGAGAAAATCTTCAACGGAAACTCTAATCTTTTGATTGACTCACACATCGTTAGATTAGTTTTTGTTTCTGAAAACTGTTGAAAACTCAATACCTTCTTAAATTTATATGAGAATAGAGATCAGACAAATTGAAATAAAAAACAATTCTTTGAATGACAACTCGACAGCCGATGGATCAACCTGAAACAATCTGCGGGTCGGGAATGAAATTATAGGAAAAAAAATTGCACACACCTCATCGCATCAAATTTAGTTCACTGGAGACAAACCACTCAATTTAGATACAAAAGTGAACAATTTTTACTCAAAAAAATTATATATATACAATATAGTAATGATGTTTTTAAATAATATTGTAATAAAAAATGATCGATTAACACCTATGTATAAAAATAAATCTTAACATCAAACTTATTTTAACTTATATGTATATGTATATATGAAAAATTAGTGATAATCTAAAAAAATTATTGCAGTATAGAGAAGATAAAATATTTTTATGAGTATGTTGATAAAGTCAAAATATTCAAGTTATTGATAAATTATCACGTACCTGACAAATCAAGATAATTTTGATGATCAATTTAACTTGAGTATAGAACAGAACAACGTGTTGTATGTTACATGACTAGAAACAATTGCAAATGTAAAAATATTTTTTTTTCAAAAAAAATTGCAAATTTTCTAATTTCCAATTTACTTGTCAGTTAAATGCTTGTCTTAAAAATAATTGAAAAAAATCAAACTATTATGTATGTTTTCACACAAATAGGCTGTTTGTACAATTTTGTATTGAAAATTTCATGATTCATATATTTAGTGATATGTGCTAGAAGCTTTTATATAGCACACATATATCACATCTATTGAAGATAAAAACTTAAAAGAAATATTATAATTGAAACTATGTAGCAGGTAAAAAAATTTTCTTGTTAGAGAAAAAACAGTGATATAAATCTAATTTTCTTTTGTTGTATCAGGATTTTTATAAAGACTAACTGCCATGAATTCAATAATGATTAACAAAACAATTATTCATATTAAGTTTAGTTTGATAACTCAAAGACATATCTATATCATTTCTTTGAAGTAAATTTTTGTAGCCTAAATTAAAATTAAAAAAAACTAAGAAAAAATTTATTCAAATTTTGATATTTCTTAAATTAAATTAAATTATTTTTTTCAAATATCTTTGAAATACATATAAAATTTATCATTCATAAAATATGACAAGAAAGAAAAGAAATATATCTACATATTTTAATATATTTAATTTAAGATTAATTTTAAATTTTTTTTGTTTTAAAAGATCTCTTTGTGTGATTTATATCTAAATTTCTTTGAATACAGTCCAATATTTTTTTATCTTATAGATGTGCCAATTACCTTCAAATTTTCTAAAATGGTGATTTGTTAGTGCAATGCTAAGAATCAACAATGATACAAACTGCACATGTGCATGATTTTTTTAAAAATAAAATACTAATAAATTTGTAAAATTGACAAAATATTTATGAAATTGGTCTTTTTATATAGTTTATTTTATGTTTACAACATTGGATTGGATTTTCTATCACAAAAATCTATGCTCTTATTCATGCTTTTATTTCACAAGATATTAACTAAATGGTAATTATATTAAGTGCTTCAGATTTTAATGAATATAAATGTAAAAATGAAGAATAAACTCTCATATGTGAAACTCTTTTGAAACTCTCTCATTTGATATAAACATTTTTAAGCATTGTTTATTATGATTGTAATATATGATCTAGGTGTAACTAATCACATTTAAAATTTTTTTTTGATTACATTGAGAACACAAAACTACAAATGACGATTTAGAATCATCTTTTGTTGTTGAAAAATTGAATATAATTAATATATATATTAACTTCATATTTTTTTTTATTTTTTTTTTATGTCTACAATTTATAGATTATTGCTCGATCTTATATAAGTTTGTATTTGAAATGTTGCCTACTAAAAAATCAAGAATAATTTATTTTCATTTATGGAATAAGATTTTTGAACTTGCTGAATATTTCTCTTTTATGTATTTTTATTGAATTTAAAATAATAATAATAATCTTATGACAAAACCGCTCACCTCACACAATGCCTCCAAGGGACATACCGGGGTGATCACACTGAATTATGTTAAATTTGCCCGTTCTCTAGTTAAGTGGAGAAACAACCCATCGACGGTGTGTGTGACAAATTACAGTAAGAAGTCTTTTTCAACTCAATTGAGAAGTTAGCCACGCAAGTTTCTTCCTTACATTATTTTGGCAAGTAATATATATTCTTTTTTGATATATTGTTCCCTTTGTAAACGAATCATCCAACATCACATCCTAGTCACACCTCTTAAAAAGCTATGAGAAGGAGCTAAGTTTTGTTTGTTCTGCTTTCGCGCTTTTCGCAGAGTAGAACACGGCTTTACAGTGAACCTTCTTAAAATCCTGCCCACCAATGCTTAGACTGATTCTTCAGAAAGCACGATTCCATATCATTACTTACACTCTCCATATCATAAATTTTTATAAAATAGTTACACCTTTCATAAACAAAAGAAACTCGCGTCCTCTCCATTACCAAAACGGAGTTCAGGCTGCAACTACGTTCATGTCTATTCAATCTTAGTAAAACCTAATGGTATAAATTGAAGTTTGAAATGAGACTTTTCGACACTTGATTGTATGTTTTTTTTTATACACGAGTAAAGCCTTTTTATGAAATAAGACACAAGCCTTACCTTGAATGTTTCACTCATTATGACAACGGACATGAATCGAATGAACACGAGTTGAGTGGTATCCGAGTCGATTTTAAATTCTTACTCCTCTGCTGCCAAGTCGCGTGCGTGCCTTGAGTATCGATTGTGGCACATTCCTGTAAGAAACGTCAGTTTCAGGGTCGAGCTGTCGAGTCGATTCCAGAGGCTGTACACACACTCTCCAGGTATATTATCAGCCTTTTAATATCTATGACATGGGATGTTCCAAGCTAAGTGATCGCTATCCAAGCTCGTTCGTAACTGCGCTCCTAACTTTGCGGGCTATCAAGTAAAATTCCAAACTGACATGCCGGTCGGACAAAAATCGTGACTAGATCAAGTAAGACATATTAATGTGAGTTAACAAACAAGGCTTTCGTACAATTTGAACACAAGGTATTCACAAGTCAGATGTGACTCATTTCTGATACCATACACTCGTATCATATGAGCCGTTCCAAGCCCTGCACAAAATAGGATGCTCTCTTCTGGCTATCAGGTCATTTTGCGCTGGCCAGTGGCCTGTCCCATTCTTGATCCTAAAATGATTGTCAAGTCCACCCGGAGATGGAAGTACCAAACTTAGACCAACATACCCTTTGATGCCATGCCTATGAAACTCTTTGGTTGTTTACACGTGCGTTAAAGGTACCAAACTTGGGCATACAGTACATGGTGTGACATGCAAAACGAATACTTGTTATAAGCGATGCAACACTCACCAAATCTAATCTTCAATTAAGTTTGATACTATCAAACAAACAGACTTCCATTCCAAGTCCGTAATCATGCAGTATTCACGATATGCAGTGTAGTTTCGAACATCCGGTGGTCGTTACACATTACGTGTTGTCGGTTTAACTAAACGCAAGAACATCTCAAATTCCGGACAATGAGTACGAATCAGGGAAAAAAATCGTAGTGATAGGCAGTAAATATAACGATAGTACACGCTAACTAACGCTCAATTCGGATTAATATACCAATTATGCACCAAATGTTTGAGAATGTTGAAAGTCATCATCGTACACATCATGCTGCCCACACAGATGGGAAATCTAAATCATAGATGACATTCGAATACCGACACACATTAAGTAGACACTCACAACATTCTGGAGAACCACGAAGCAACCAGGCACCACAAGTTCTTCCAATTTACCCCCCAAAAGAAGGGTTTCCTCTGATTGTAGGAGACCTTTCAAAAAGCTCTACTCTCCATAATTCCTTCGTGACCTACTCCATGAAAATACAGCCTCCCACTTCCTAGACTTACACCGTTGTTGATCCCTTTCCTGTTGGGCATTCTTGAGTATATCACTTATGTGCCTCTAGGCTTCGAGTCTTCATGAGCAAACCTCATGAGATAAACTTGGATAACATCCACTTACTCAACACAACATCCAGGCCGAAATGATCCGCATTCTAAATTAATGGGTTTTAGGTTTGACAATTTTCACAAAGGGCAGCCAACCCCCCACATACCGCAGTTCAGGATTCCACTCTAGCTGTTGTGCTCGGCAAAACTGTAAAAAAGTATTACCAAAATAGGCACTAAACCCCATAAATACGTGCCACCAGGCATGCCCTTGCGGATTTACTGGTAAGGATGCAACTCGGCTACACAGGTTCCGATCCACCAGCCAGCAGATACCTCCCAAAGTGATAGAGATAAGATACATGTGACCCAATCGCCTTGCAGGAACCTCTGTTGTATAAATGTAGTACTTGTACATTCGAGGCAGGCAAAGCAAACACAAAAAAATAAAATGTAACTGATACACTAAAACAAAATGGAACAGTGCGTGACATATGGCATACGCCGTGCCATATATGAAGAGGAAAGTAGGCATGGTGCTTCGATAGTGCCAATCAGGAGAGTAGAGCACATAGATATATAAGAGCATGAGCCACACCATCGGGGTTTCATCACTCTGTTGTTGACTGCACGAGAAACGATAAGGAGGAAGATAAGTATGTTAACCAGGTAAACAACGAATAATAAAAAAAAATCTTCCCCGAAATACCATCTCTCTTCCTCAAATGATAAGTCAATGAAATCGACAACTCACGCCTTCTACCTTAGATTCTCCCTTTATATTCTAGAGTATCACATGCATTTGAAGAAAAATTCCTTACAAGTTGAAGCTTACCCATATTTCAAAGAGGCATGAAAGAGGATGCTCCCGATGCCAATTACAATGCTCGAAAGGTGAAGGACGCTAAATCTTTTTTCGAAGCTTTGACCTATTGTGCTACAAAGACCAATCAAAGCGAGAAGTATCATTGGAACATTGGAAATAGTGTTAAAAAACTCCCCAACATAGTGAGAAATCTCGTAGTTCTTTTCACACCACTCAGTACTGGCTGTGACTGGCCCCCAGTAGCCAGCCATCCCCCAAATGTACACTTGCCCAGAATTGGATTCTAGGAGATTAATAGCTTCACTGTCCTTCCCATTCCGTGTGTCAGCTCAGCTGGAAGTTTGTCAGCACGTCAATCCTGCATGCAAGCGTACCAGAATTAGTTAGCATAAGTGTGATGTGAATATGATAAGATGTCAGGCATTCGGTAAAAAATTCCACAATCCACTTCAGTATTACAACGCAATGTAAGTTCTGCTGTGTATTACTTTATTCAACTTATGCTGTCAATTTGGCCTTTCTCGACTGTTAAATGCACAGCCAATGATTGTTTCAATACTGCACATCACATTATTGACAAATAAAAATGCATGCACATTCATTTCAGAATGGTAAAAGGGCGCTCCAGATTAGATCCAGTCAATTGAATAGGGGAAAACCCAGAAAACCATCAAACAGTTAATTTTCTCTTGGAAGGTCTGATGAAGACACCTCAGCGATTTCAAACAGACCCTGTATCTTCTCATTATGAGTGATACTAGATGGCTAAACGATATAATATCCGCTATCACAGTAGATCCACTGCAAAAACTGAAATCACATTCGTGGACTCCATCAAAAGTGATAAATCCATAACAGTTCACACAATCGACAATTACGAGCAACTAATATATTGATGAAAAGAAATGGAAACGCTAGAAGGACAACTCTTTAGTCAGAAGAGGGTCATGTACAGCGGAAAACGTCAGCGGCATGGAACATAAACATCCACGGGCAGGGAGAAGATGAGGGGCTTCGAATGACTCTTTCATGAAGTGATTCTCGGCGATTGACTTTTAACGTCGGTCCAACGCCAGCCCTGCTTCAGATGAACACTAGTCCATTCACCGTTCAGCCAATCTCATTTCACTCGTACATTAAAATCGACATAGAATGGAAATCGAATGAATCCCTAGTTCCCCTTCGCAGTATCGAAAGACAGAGAGGTGACCAAGCAATGAAGATTCTCGAAGAAGAGTTCCCGGAATGTTCACAGTTGTGATTATGAAACTATAGGGGCAGACTGAACAAGTGATGGACGATCCGCTATCTCCCGAGAGGAAGTGTGATTACTCTGTACGATAGACATTAACTGCTGTAAAACTCATCAGAGAGATGCAAAATCGATGAAAATCTACCTCACACGGATGTTTCCCAACAAGACCAAAAACCAGGTGGCAGTAAATGAGCTCAAGTTTGGGCAGATGATATTCAGGGCAACCACTTCTCACACAACTGATCGTACGCCAGAACTTGGGCAATCAAAGGATAAGGTCGAGCAGACGCGCTATCATCGAGAGCACAGCAATACAGGCATCTGAAGTCGAAGGTTGCACTACAAGGGACCACGATCTACATATCCCGATAATATTCTCAAGATTGACTGAAACTTTGGACGCAGTTTCTACGAGTTGCACACAGAGCCATTCGCGAGAGCTAAGCAGATACAGAAACAAGGTGTACTCACGTGCGATGTTCCACATCCTTCTCTTGATTGGAACTTCCGCAATCAAGAACGTGATCAAACCTTCGTCCAACTGAAACCAAGTCGGTGCCCTCTCCTAAGCGGAGATGCGCCACCCGAACTTGATCCGCTTTAAACACTTTGCGCAATTGATCCCGGCAATCAGAGCCGCTCTTGCAGAATTCCATTCCCCATCTGCCGCCCCCCGCTCCACGAGAATGTTACTGAATTGCACCCCTGCCTCAGCACCACCATTCCAGACCCCGCTCTCTTCTTTCCTTGCAGATCTCTCGCTCAACCCATCAAAGAAGCACCAGCTTACTTACCACCACCGCTCCCGCTGCATGCCCCACGGCCCCCACAATCCATCGCCTCGCTCGGCCTTGCTCTGCCTTGCGGGTTCCACCACCCGTTCTCTGCCGACCCGACTCCCGACACCACTGGGCCACAACTGAACGTCTCTTTTCCTCTTCTCCCTTAATTGTTACTCCCTCCATCTAAAACCCTCAAGCGGCAAGCCCCATTTCTTTATCCCGCCCACAAATCTCCGCACCCTAAAGTCCAAGCGAGAAAGTCGTCCAAGCGGCAGGCCAGACTAAATTACCGTCCTCCTTTGGCGAGACGGCCTTTACATGTGGCTCTCGCGTCGAATAACACGTGTTGATGCAGCGATCTAATATAATATCCTCCAGCTTTCGGCATAAAAGACCTTCCTGCTCGCTCGCCCGGAGGCAGTAGAAATTCCTCTCACCCGCGGGGAGCATGCGGATATCGGCTGATGCCCGGACGTCCGGCCTGCGGCGAAATCGCGGGTGGCATTAGCGCAAGTCCGGGGCCGGGCTGGATGGAGTTGCGAGTCGCCCGACATAACCGACTGGCTCTACAGACGGCGCCCTTTGTGCCGCTCCGCTAAATGTCCATCCAGATTAGTTACGGTTATCTGACCGGTATCTGCTTAGGGTTTCTTCCATTATCCTCTTGTACACCGAGTGTAACTTATGACCGAGCATGCCAAATAAAGATCTCGATCGGACGGCGCAGAGCCATCTCGGTGGCTTCTTTTTGCACGATCCTGTTGTAAGACTCGACGAGGTTCTGCGGGCGCTTTGCTAAGTTAAGAGTACTCCCATCCGGCATTGAGAATATACTGCGTGGGTTTGCTAAGCCTTTGTTTCTTTTATAATCAGATTCCCTGACAGTACTGGCAAATTTAGACTCCACATTTTTTTCTCACGGCAAATGTTTCGATCGGCCATGATTCTGAGCTCTGCTCTGAGGAAGATTATGACTAGAAAATTTAAGTTACTCGATGATAAGGGAGGAAATCTCAGTGGATTAAGTTAATTTTAGCCGCTCTGCCGACTTCGATCATGAAGGGAAAAATTCATGCTGGCAAGATCTTGTTGCAAGCGTAGAGGCGAACTTGGAATATTCTAGCAGAGAGTAGAATATGATCCATCACTCAATTTCGTGTGTGGGTTTCCGAATTTTATTTTTTTACTTCATATAAATCTAATCATCAGAGAAATAGTTTCTTGTAGAACCTTTGGTGTATCCTTACATAGAGAATTCACTTCAGAACTAAAACATGACTATTCTCTTGGTTAAAAATTTTATTTTGCAAATTTATCCAAAAAATGATCTTCAATAAATACTTATAGGGAATAGAAAATAACGTTTTGATTTCATCTTCATTATAGTGAAGATCTTTTAGCATTTCAGATTTTGTGATCTTCTCACGTATCGGAGTCAGTTGCTGAGATATTCTGTAGTGCTGAGGGTTTCCACTTGTCCTTGTGTTGACGATTCACGTTGACCAATTGAACTCAAAGCTGGTGGTGTATAAGTAATGACAGATGATATATTAGTCATTCCATATACCGAATCATTCAAAAAGCCATGGCCGTGTCATTGTTGCCTTCAAGTCAACCGAAAAATCTTGTCATGGCAATTCGAAAACTTGCCCAAATCTGGGAAAAGTGTAATTTTCGTGGCCCATGACCAAACTCGCGCAAAGCCTGTCCAGGGCAGCTTCAGATGCTCTCGGAACTGCGTACAAACCAACAAACGCTCAGTGCGTCGTCATACACGGTCCGACAGCAGGGCATTGTACGGCTCTTGCAGTAGGTTCTTTTCGCCGCTGCTCGGACTTGAAGCACATCTACTCCGGTTCGAACTCAAGGACGTGGTATATTAAATAATATATCGACATAAAACCAGTAATGACATTTCTTTGTCACCGATGAATTCGGCAGACCAGTCATGGAATACTTATATACGACCATTGACATACTGCTTTTCTAAGGGGCTCCTCTGTTCGCGAACTCATTTTCTCGCGGAAGACCCTTGTCTTTCACGAAGATGAAAGCCTGGTTTTCGAGCTAAAAGTGGTTTCGTACTGTCACAGCGGTTTGGAATCTGGAATCCGGAATCTGGAATATCGACTTCGACTTGAACAGTGTATAGGAAGTGTGGGAAATTGCGCGGGGAAAAGCACAAATTCCGAAGCTTGTGCGACGCTCTTCGTTGGATTTCAAACCCGAACAGGCTGAACTATGGAAGCTCGCAATCAGCCAATTCACATTCACATTCACGGCCAATTCTCTGTTAGGTGCCTGATTGCGCAAAGCGCCAGTGAGACGAATGCGATGGTGTTTCTCTTTCGCTCGCATTAGCCGCGAATCGAAGCTATTTGCACATGTTCATTCCCCGACTTCGTGACATTGACAGACTACGTTATACATGCCTTCACATGCATTCATGACGTCTTCACATCCATGTAAAGAGCCCTGGATCTGGCCTGAAGAATCCGAGACATGGTTTCAGAGTCGAATTTCGCCGGAAACTTATACACAATAAGGTGGATGGTCACCCATCGAGTTTCAAACGACGTATGATAAATTCAAGGAATCGTTTTCGATAATCCGGGAATGATCCAGTGACTGTCCTTGAACCCTTTACATGTGAAAGATATTGCTTCCTGTGATGAAAGAAGGAATGGCGGATTTATTTGTCCTTCTCCAGGACTTAGGAGAACGTATCGCTAGTAAAGGTGATGCCGCGAGCGGCACTCAGCACGAGGAGGATGACCCTGTGGAATCGCGGTTTCGTTCCGTGCTTCCTACACTTCTGGAGAGCTATTTTGTACCCTTCAAAGGTGCACATTAAACCTCAAACAAAATCGTGTATCCCACGTTGATCATTTCCTGAGTCGTCTGTCAATAAATCTAATGCTCTGATGTGTTCAGTGAAGGAGCGAGAGTTGATGGCAATCTTGAAGCTCTTGTGTCACACGGTGAAGCAGTATCCAGGTGTTCTTTACAAAGGAAAAGGACAAGCGGTTCTTCCTATACTAAGCCGGATTTTTCCCCTCTTTGCTGAGTCGGAGCTAAGGTCAGAGCATGTTCAAAGATTGAGACATCCTTTTTCTTTGTGCAAGTGAATAAACTCTCGTATATTTACATTACTCACTAGCTGCTGATCTGTTCGTTCATCGTGTAGAGGATGTCATGGTGGGCTTTTTGATACCTCTGCTGCTCTTTTATCACTTTTGCGGACCGGTGATCCTGAAACTTACAGATTACTCTTAATGGATTCCATGCTTCTCATCGAAGGTACACTTTCATCTAGATTATCTCTCCAACGATTTCCGGCTTTTTAAAATGTGTCTGGTGTGAGCATTGATTTCGTATTGTGAACACAGTTCAGTTTTGTTCGTAGAATGATATGTTGGTAGAAATTCCTTTTTAAATGTATAAGACTATTGTACAAGATCTGCACTATAGAACAGGAATTAGCTTTCGTGTTGCCCTTAAGTGAATGTTTACATCCGTATAATTTAGTTCAAACCGCAGTTCAAACTGCACAGAATTTCAATTATCTGTCGGCTTCCTGCGCTTGCAGTTCGTGGTTTGTACTGTTCAGAGTTTACATCACGTTTCTTGCTTTCTGTCTTCATGCTTTGTGTCTACGTTATGTATGTAAATCTCGTCTTGTAGTCCAATATGATTTGGATCCCATTTCTGCAAAGGACATTCCTGAACCGTAATGAATGTGAACTGTAATGGACCAGCATTACACTTTCACTTCATGAGAAGTACATTGAAGGACGATAGTCAGTAACTGATTCTTCCCCTCTCCACCAATTTTGCAGATCTCGTATCAGTAGGACTTTTTTATGCGAACCGTAGTAGCTGTTCTACTGTCACAAACGTATCTATACATTGCTACCCTAGAGCATACTCCGAGCTTTCTAGTGCAGGTGACGCAGCGAATGCTCCAGAGCTCTTATGCGGCATTGCAGCCACCTGGAAATCTCAAGAAGGCCCCGGCCTTCTCATTGACGTAACTGGACAGAGTCGCTGGCAATCGCTTGCTAAGTGGACCATCAAGTTGCTGGGGCGTTGTCTCCTAGAAGGGGCCCTGCTCGTGGAAGGCTTGGTAACTTCATCATTTTTGTCAGCTGTGGGCTCGTTCTTTTGCCACAACTCTCCTCTGTTACACAAGGTGCTTCCTTACATTTGTTTCCTCGTTGGTGCAGTATGTGAACAGTCGAAGCCTCCAATCACAATAGTCAATATATATATTGAGCTACTTGATGGCTTAGTCCTGCAAGTTTTTTTGGTTCCTTTTTGGCGTTTCTGACAAGACTGGAATTCGTTATGAAAGGAATCTTTCGACTTTGTTCGAATAGCAACATCGGTAGTGGATGTAGAAGCACTTCCTACCGAGAAGCTGATTCTGTCAATCATCAACGTTTTATCTGTAAGCGGAGGAGAATCAGAAACTTTTAGGTGAGTGTAACAGTAGTGTTTGGTAAGTGTAATTTGATATTCCTTTGTCTCACTTACCTACAACTTTCCCGTCTGCTCCAAGTTCTCAGTCTTTTCGCTCTACCTCATTCAGGGTTCGGGGCCTAGGGTCTTGAGGCTATGATAGAGATGGGAATGATTACAGTTTTAGCTACTGCATTCTTGGATGCGTGGTCCGGGTTCGTTTCACTCTTTAGAGACTCTTTCAAACGAACAAGAACTCAGACACCATCTCAGTCTGATATGATATGAACATTTTCCAAGTGTAAATCCAGCATAGAAGATTTCGAGAATATGCATATGAACGGGAATATATTTGTGACAACAGTTTTTAAGAGCGTTTAACTTGGAGAAAGTTGTCCACGCCTCATTCATGTATGTTATACAGGACTCCTGCTTATGATTCTGCATTGGGTGCCTGCCTCTATGCCCTGTGCTCCACGTGTCAGAGTCTGATCCTTGAGAGCATTGCCCAGGCCTTCATGGAGGTCATGCCACAGACAGTGAAGCAAAGTGGCAGCAGAGATTTGAAAGTAAGATTTTCAATTCTCTCGGCTGAAAAATTATTTTAACTTATGATGTAGATCATGATTCTGCTAGAAATTTCTCATGGAAGGATTTCTCGTGGAAGGGTTCTGGCTACACCATGTTCACAATCATAGCTATCTCCCCTTCCCCAGTTCAGCATGGTCGTCATTTCGGCTTTTTATTGATTAAGCTCTTTCCTGCAGGCAGCAATGTGTGACATCTACGCGCTAATTGTGAAGCAGTGTCCTTCTTACTCTGGGCACCTAACTGTTATCTTGGAACTGATCACCATACCAGAAGTTACAACATCTCTGAGCTACAGTCTCCAGGTGGCCATGGATTCAGTTGGACTAGCACAGATAGCAGGAATTCAACCTACAACGGATACTGCGAATCCGGTCCAAGCTAATGTTGTTGATGACGGAGGTGCCGTCTGTTCAGCAACAAATTCTGGTGATAGTAGCTCACCTGGCGAAACTCAACAAAGTCAGGAGTATCAGAGCAGACCAATAAAACGACAGAAGCTGAGCAAAGCAATTGAGAAGGAGTCTTCTTTATCTCGGATTCTCATGGGAGTAGAAGTACGAGGCCCATTACCACACTCCACTGTTCCATCAAACAACAACTTGCCCTTTTCATCCTTCGTAAATATGCTCATAGTCGACGTATCTGTCCCGAATATAGACTCTCCTTCACTTTTCTTGTCGGAGAAAGAACTGGCTACACCTTCAAGTCTGCTACACAAAAAAGTTCTACAACTCATAGGTCAACTCCACCCATCATACGAAGTTGAAAGTGGAACCGCGACTGTCGAAGCTAAGCTCTCCGGCTTGTGTGTTCTAGTACGACTATTTGGAAAATGTACTGGAACTGTATGCCACACGCGACTGGTTGTGCTCTTGCACCAATGGATGTCTTGTATCTTTGATATGGTATATACTTCAGGCTCCTTGAATTTTGTCTGTCAAGTTTTGTTCTGCTATACTACGTCCGTTAGATCTTCGGGGTTCGTACTCTTCATTACCCTCGCGTGTTAGGTCGTTGTGGTTGATCCTGTGTTATTTCAATTGTTCATTTCAACGTTGGAACCATATGAGACTTTTGGAGTGACTGCAGTTCTCTTGGACATCTTCCTGTCTTTATTTCAGGGTCAAGAGGGGATTCTTTCAACACTGCAGCTAAGCTTGTTCATGGAAGCGTTAGACAGGTTTCTCCTGGAGGAAGAACTCGGTGAAGATCTAATACTTGTTAGGGGTTATCCAATGGAAGTTTAGGATAGGAGATCGTGTTGTGGTGAATTTTGTCAAACGTCATCATTGTGGTGAATTTTGTCAAACGTCATCATTTTACGTCGACCACCAGGTTCCGATTTGACTTTATTACAAGTTGAACAATAGAACTTCTACATCACTGCGAGTAACGTCAGCCTGACTACAATTGGTACCTTTTTGGTTGTTGTATTACAGCAGGTACTGCTGCAAATAGTTGTTCGAGCAGCCTGAAGCAGAAGTTGCTAGAATCAGCAGACACTCTTAAAGTCCTTCTGGGAACTATTATTCTGCCTTGGTCTCTTCCGCTGTCAGGCGAAGAAAGCTGGTCCCTGAAATCTCGTGCGGTTTATATAGTTTCGAAATTGGGTGGACATCCTGAAACTCTAGCTTTGGAGTCCATTATTGAAAGAGCTCTTCAGGACGCTGACGCACGAATGCGAGCTGTTGGGGTCTCAGCTGTACCTAGTATAGCTGCACAAACTAGTCCTGAGTTGGTACTCAGGTTCTGTACTAGACTTGGGTGCGTACAGAAAAACTTGGCTTTATGATTCTCCTGGATAAATGGAAGTTCTTGAGTGTGCTCCTTGCTTGAATCATAAGCATAATCTCCTAGATCACATATATAGTAGGTCCTGGTTTTTTCATTTTTTGCAACTTGTAATAAAGTCAAAAGTTTGAAGTATGCCACTATACTGAAGGTCGAAATGGTATACAGGACTTTAGGGTCGGATGGAGCTGAGAGCGTTCGTGAGATGGTGGGCGGAGTTGTTGGACTGATGACATGTGTATACTACTCAGGACATTCACGACGTGACCCTGCCGAGGTTCTACCAACCATATCTGGAACCGGCGGAGGACGAAGAAGCGGGGATTCTAGATTTGTTTGCTCCCTGTGTGACGGTGGAGACTCTGTGTTGAATGCCGTGAATTATCATAGAACCTCTGAACCTCAAAACAGGACTGGTAGTTCTCTTCTGGCTCAATGGGAGCCACTTTTTAGTCAAATACTATTTGAGGAAAGGTCTGAGCACGTCCAGATTGCTTTTATAGGAAGCATGTCACGATTCTTACAGCATGCGACCACGAGCGATATCGCCTCGACAAAGAAGGTTTGGCTTCGATGTCTGGATACGCTACCTCTTCACCGACGGAGATCAGTAAGAGAAGCATTTGGATTGCAAATTAAGTACTTCACAAACGCACGTGTTCTAGCCGGAATATTTGGAGACAATGAAGATGATAGTGACAAAAATGGGGAGCTTCAGATGCTAGGGAAGTTAAAGTATGCCCTTTGTATAGCAGAACACCCAGATGTGATAGAAACATTATTGGAAACTATAGCCCAAGTTGCCAAAGCTTCTCACCACTGCCACCAGCTACTTTTCTTCTCCCTTGTTCTTCTGCTCGAACAACTTGACAACCCGGACCTTTCCTTACGTGTAATATGTGTGAAACTGATACATGGAATAGATCCATCAAGCTTGCGCATATCGGGAGTTCATAAACTACAAAAGACGATGGACTTAATCAGGGAAGAGTTGTTTGAGTACCTGACAAGTCGCCTCATTTCTCGTCCAATCATGGTACACGAGTTTGCTGAGGCTGTCCTTGAAATTGACTCCGCAGATCTAGTCAAGCAAATGGTCCCCGTGATGCTACCAAAGCTTGTGCTTGACCAGCAGCACAGTCAAGAGGCCTTGGATGCTTTGCATGAGCTTGCTAAGCAGCTAGGTACAGACCTACCGCTTCTGTTGCTGGAATGGTGTCATAAAGTGCTATCTGTACTTCTCCTGCGAGCCGATGGTAAGGAGCTGATGGCTGCACTGCAATTTTATGAAGTACAAACCGGATCTGATCCTCGAGAAATTTTTGCTGCGGTGTTGCCAGCTCTCCTTGATGAGCTGGTGCGTTTTCTCGGTGACACAGATTCAGACGAAGGGCTTCGAAGGTACAAGGCTACTTGTATACATGTGCATAAGAGTTATATGTTGATATATTTCGTTGCAGAGTGAAAGTGAATCTTTTCTCTGCTGTTGACTCTGGTTAACTTCCAATGTGTATTATCAGATCAGCAAGGGTGGCTCCAATGATTCAAGAGGTGGCCAGCATTGTTAGTGGATCAGATGATCTCGCCAGCTTCCTCAGAAGTCACTTTGTTGGTCTTCTGAATAGTATTGATCGGAAGTTGTTGCGTTCCGAAGACGTGACGTCTCAAAAGCAGGCACTGCGCTGTATAGAGCGATTGGTGGACATGATCGGTGCTCACCTAAGTGCTTTCGTGCCAAAAATAATGGCACTGCTTACAAGAGCTCTTCAAGATCCTTCTTTGCAAGTGGAAGGCTTGAAGGTGTGGCTTTCATTCGTGAGAACCCTAGCGCATGTTGCACCTGCCAATGTGAAGGTTGTCGCAAGCCAGATCGTTGTTGCCCTTATGCCATGCTTAGAAGGCCGACAAGATGAGCAAAATGCAGCAGCGGTGGTATTGGAGGAGCTAATTGTAAGAAATAGAGCTGCTCTTGAAGACCAGGCTAGAGAGTTACCTCTTCTGCCTAGTCTTCCGTCTCTGACCAACGTGAACACAGTCCTACATGAAGCCCGTGGTTCACTAAGCCTTCGTGATCAACTACGTCGAGCAGCTGATGGACTTTCGCATGAAAGCATGAGCGTGCGCTACACCACTGCTAGCGAATTAAGCAAAGTCATGAGAGCTCAGAGGCGAGAAATAACTGCCATGCTGGTGGCAGAAGTATCTATGGACGTTGCAGTTATAAGCAGTCTGGTGACAGCATTGTTAAGAGGATGCGCCGAGGAATCTCGAAGAGCTATGAGCCAGAGACTGAAATTGGCCTGTGCAGAGTGTCTGGGAGAGCTTGGAGCAGTTGATCCCGTCAAGCTGCAGGTTATAGTTACTTCCCATACTTCAGTTTCGGCATTCATCCACCATACTCATGATTTTGTTTTATGATTTTAATAGACAAGAAGATGATGTTTGCGGTCGAGAAGACCTATGATTCTCTATTCTGCACAAGAGATCGTTTGTGTTTCCAACAATATTTGCTGAATTCTTTAAGCATGCCAGGTGGATTTACGGCACCAGTCGAGAATTGAGAGAAACAATGAAGACCTTGTGTTTGAGTTGGTCAAACAACATCTGGCCAAGGTCTTGAGAGCTGCTACTGATACAGATATACAAGATGCAGCGGCTTTAGCTATTCAAGAGCTTTTGAAACTTAGTGGTTGTCAGGCGGCTTTGCTAGGCAAATTACATAAAAGTACTATCAGCTCTGGAAAGTCGAAGGATGCCTCTTTTAGAACAACAAAGGGGTCTGCAAGAAATGTACATGATGGCCGGGAATCAGCTACAAATGGAGAAAATCTCTGGAGAAGGTTTTCCGATGATGTGAAGGAGATTATCACTCCATGTTTGACTTCGAAGTACCTTCTGAAGAGCGCAGGTGCGTCAATACCTGATGGTCCAATATTTCGAAGTGGCATGTCTTTCCGGAGATGGATGTATCTATGGATTCGTCGTCTGATTTCACAAGCAACTGGCGATCGGGCCCAAATATTCATAGCTTGCACGGGGGTCGTGAGACACGACATGGGAACAGCCCTCTATCTCTTACCATACTTGGTTTTGAACGTTGTGTGCGAGGGCTCCATTCAGGCTCGCAATTCCGTCACTGAAGAAATTTTAGCTGTTTTAGCCGAAGCTACCTCTTTGAGTAGTAGCTCTGTTGTAGGTGTTGAAAGAGGCGCGGGTAGTACTTCTAGGAGCTGGTCAGGGCCAAGTGAGGTTAGCACTCAAACAGTATTCACCTTGATCGACTGTCTAGCTCAGTGGCTGGATGACTGCAAATTGTTGTCACCAGGACAAACAAGTCATGCCTCTAGTAAAGGTTCCAATTCTGGCTCCAACTCAGAATCTCTCAGGCAGGAGTCTAGTCTGCTCGCTGAGCACCGGCAAAATGTGCTGCAGCTTTTGGCTGCCATTCCGAAACAAGCTCTTGCTGGAGCGTCCTTTCGATGTCAAGCGTATGCCCGAGCTCTACTTTATTTTGAAACTTATGTGAGAGAAAAATCTGGCGCTTTGAATCCCGCTGCAGAAAGTAGTGGAGTCTTTGTAGACGAAGACGTTACATTCCTTTTAGAGATATACAGCGGTTTGGATGAACCAGATGGTCTGTCAGGCTTAACCAGACTGCGAACATCGACAACCTTACAAGATCAAGTGCTGATTCATGAGAAGGCAGGCAACTGGGGAGAGTCTTTGACTTGCTATGAGCAAGCTTTGCAGATGGACCCCACCAGTATCTTGCGCCATTCTGGTTTACTCAACTGCTTGCTTAACATGGGCCATCTGCAGGCAATGGTGACTCATGTTGATGGATTAATCTTAAGAATGCCAGACCACAAAGGGGAGTGGAGTATGCGAGGCATTCAGGCAGCTTGGCGGCTAGGTCAGTGGAGTCTACTCGAAGAATATGTCACATGTGCTGAAGGCGATGGTTCTTTAATCAATAGTGGTGAAGGATATGCAGCTTTTGATCTCAGCTTGGCAAAGATTCTCCAGGCCCATCAGAATGGAGATCGAGAGCTATTCACGGAGCAAATCATGCTTTCCAGGCAAACACTTCTTGCACCGTTGGCAGCAGCGAGCATGGAGTCATATACTCGTGCATATCCACTGATTGTCAAATTGCATATGTTGCAAGAACTAGAGGATTTTAGTTCCCTGGCCGCTGTGAAGCGTGCAACCGGTAAGTTTGTAGTGACTTAAACAATGAGAGTCTTTCAAACTCTCAACCTGCTTCAGCAAATTCTATTCTAACCTTAAACTCTATAGAAAGCCTTCGGAGCACCGAAGGTTTAAACCTGAACCGGAAAACTGACGATATGGTTTCTTCTCGCAGATAGTAGTCACATAAATGTTATCATGGAGCTAGTTGGCGATTGGGAGAACCGTTTGAGAATTACGCAGCCTTCACTTTGGACTCGAGAACCAATTCTCGCACTACGAAGATTATTGTTTAGTACAAGCGGGTTACAGTCAGAGGTCGGAATATGCTGGCTGGAGTATGCGAAGCTTTGTCGTGCAGCGGGCCACTATGAGACTGCAAATCGAGCTATATTGCAGGCCCAATCCGTGGGGGCACCAAATGCCCATATGGAGATGGCCAAGCTTTTATGGGACACAAATAAAAGTCATCGAGCTATCACTGAGCTTCAACAAGCATTGTCAGGGGTTTCTCGACCAGTGCTTGGTAATGCATACACGGCCGCCCTCAGTGGCCTCTTATATATTCATGGCCAGTCACCCTCAAGGCCGGCTGTGAAAGCGATACAGGATACGTCACCTGGCTGGGCTAAGATGTCCACCCAGGCAAAGAGGGACGAAGACCTTGTGACCGCCAAAGCGCTTCTTCTTCTTGCAAGATGGGTCCATCACACTGGGCAAAAGCAGAAGGATGATGTCGTTAGTTTGTACACGCGAGTGAAAGAACTGCAACCAAAGTGGGAAAAAGGATACTTTTTCATGGCTAAATATTTCGATGATTTGTTAGTGGATGCCCGCAAAAGACAGGAAGAACTTCAGGATGGTCGTACTGATCCTGTGCTTCAAAGGCGCCGTCTTACAGTGGACGATAAGCACTGGTGGACTTACCTCCCCGAAGTGATACTGTTTTATGCGAAGGGGCTGCACAAAGGTCACAGACATCTGTTTCAAGCTATGCCCCGGTTGCTGACTCTGTGGTTTGAGTTTGGGAGCACTTACTGCGGCGATTCTCTTGCTTCTAACAAGACGGTCAAAACTGTTCATGCAAGAGTAAGTTCACTCACGCATGGTAGGTCTGAAGAACGTACTTTGTTAGAGAATGTATACACTTTGTTTGCCCCATGTCTACGTATCTTCCAGAATATTATAGAAACAGTTTCTTCCAGAAATAGTCCGGCTCCTCTCAGCCAGGGCAATCTCTCTGTTGTCTTCGGAGTTTGACAGGAAATTACTGATGACTACAATTTCTAATATAGCAGGGCTAAATTTACCTCGTTTTGAATTACCTACGTTTTATCCCTAAACGTCTGTACCAATAGAAAAGTGTACAAGTGATACCATGGAGCGTGGCTGAAGCCTCAGTGCGCTTTTCGTGCAGGTTATGGGCATCATGAGGGGTTGTCTGAAAGATCTACCACCATATCAATGGCTTACCTCTCTTCCGCAGCTAGTGTCAAGAATCTGCCACCAAAACGAAGAAGTTGTGCGCCTCGTCAAACACATAATTACTCTTGTGCTGCAAGCGTATCCACAGCAGGCCTTATGGACAATGGCAGCACTTACAAAGTCCACAGTTCCTGCGAGGAGAGAAGCAGCCGCTGAAATTATTCAGCAAGCAAGAAGCTCTTTGGGCCAAGAGAGAGAGAAGACAGTTTTATTCAGTCAGTTTGCTGGATTAATCGATCAGATGATCCGTCTGTGTATGTATGCGGGTCAGCCTAAGGCAAAAACTGTTAGTCTCGCTACTGAGTTTGGGTATCTCAAAAGAATGATGCCTGTAGGTGTAATCATGCCCTTGCAAAGAGCTCTCACGGTCACATTACCTCCTAGGGGTTTGACAGACGTGAATTATAATCCTTTTCCACCTGCGGAGTTTTCTACCATTGCTGGCATCGGGGATGAAATCGAAATTCTAGCTTCTCTGCAGCGGCCCAAAAAGGTGGGCCCTCTTCCTCGTCTTTAAAAATTAAATCATCATAGCAAATGGATCACCTTCTCATCAAAGATGCAAGCTCTCAATCCATCTGCAGAGAAAGGTCTTACTTTTAGATCTAACATCTGTTTCTACGTCACCGTTTCTGAATAGTTTCCACAGTAGAGACCGTGTCAGAATAGCATTTAAACATTGAACCTTTCTGTCTGTCTCCGAATGTGAACATTCCTTGAATTTCACGATCGGACGAGAGCTTTTCTGATTTTGAGAGTCTTGGTGCTACTCAGGTAGTGCTGCTTGGAAGTGATGGGTTAGAGCATCCTTTTCTGTGCAAGCCCAAAGATGATTTGCGCAAGGATGCCCGAATGATGGAATTTACCACCACGATCAACCGACTTCTTCAAAAGGATCCAAAAAGCCGACGACGGAAACTGTACATACGCACTTTTGCTGTTATCCCTCTCACTGAAGATTGTGGTATGATCGAATGGGTTTTGCACACACGGGGTTTACGTCACATTTTGCAGGACATCTACGTTGCCTGTGGTAAATTTGACAGACAGAAAACGAATCCAGCTATCAAAAGAATATACGACCAACAGCAGGCCCAGAAGGGTAGTGACAAAATATCTGAGGCAGAAATGTTTCGGACCAAGATATTACCCATGTTTCCACCAGTGTTTCATCGTTGGTTCCTCAATACATTTCCCGAGCCTGCAGCTTGGTTTCAAGCGAGAGTAGCCTACGCTCACACAACCGCCGTGTGGTCAATGGTTGGGCACATGGTTGGTCTGGGTGACCGGCATGGAGAAAATATTCTTTTTGATTCAACTACTGGTGATTGTGTTCACGTGGATTTTAGCTGTCTTTTTGACAAGGGTTTGCAACTTGAAAAACCCGAACTTGTGCCTTTTCGACTCACTCAGGTATGACTTCGTTTTGACAACGGATTGAATGCAAAAGCTTTTCCATGTTAGCAACAGTGACCATGTAACCCATGGTTCAAGCATCACTGACCTCGTTTGTGTTTCTTCTTTTGACACAGAACCTAGTGGACGGGCTCGGCATAACTGGTTATGAGGGAGTTTTTCTACGGGTCTCTGAAATCACTTTGTCCGTCCTTCGATTACACCGAGAAACTCTCATGAGTGTCTTAGAAACGTTTCTCCATGATCCACTGGTGGAGTGGACAAAATCACACAAGTCGAGTGGAGTAGAGGTGCAAAACCCCCATGCTCAGGTGAGTAAACGAATGCTGCTCAAGCTCATCATTCTCCTATCATTGTTGTCTGTAACAACATTTCAGGTTGTTGACCATTCGCGCGAAGGTTGAGTTTTTGATTTTCCTTTTAGCTGGGGGGTCCAGTTGAGCATCGTTCCCTACGAACATGTAGAAGAAACCGTACAATCTGCTCAGCTTTGGTTATCTTGGCGCTGGAAAGTTTCAAATAACTCATCTTCGAGGATTGAACTTTTGCTTTGGAGTGCGTAGAGTCCATGTGAAAGGACGAGGGGATGCTCCGCTTAACCTGCGCGTCTTCTATGCAGAAGGCATAAGGTCCCGTGTGTTTAGACATCCTAACTTCCGATGGAACTAACGAGCTTGGCTTGTCTACCACAGAGAGCTATTGCCAATATAGAAGCACGCTTCGAAGGAGTGGTTGTAGGTGTAGGTGCTGCTCCATCACTTCCACATTCGGTAGAAGGTCAGGCACACAGACTCATTGAAGAGGCTGTATCACACCAGAACTTGAGCAAAATGTATATCTGGTGGATGCCCTGGTTCTAAAGTCGCAGTTATAACCACTTCGTGATGTGAAAAAGAGGGTGAGTTTCGCTACCTTGGCTGCTGAGTCTAGAACGTCATTGGCTCTACGAAATCTTGCGTTGAATTGTGTTTTAGTGACTCGACAGATGGCCTTACTTTTTCTTGTTTACGTACGGCAGATATCTCTCGATCTTTCAAGCACTCATTTAGCGTTTCAACTTGCTTCTAGAGTCTTCAGGTCTTCTCGTTACAAAATGTCTCATTTTTTTAAACTTCCGATGTCGCCCTTTTCTGTGACTCAGGCATCTCACTGGCATTTCAGTTGGTTCTCTGACACCACCACTGGTATGTGGGTGTCCCGCATCTCCAGCACTTGCGAGTGCCCCTTTGGGAGTGCACATCTGAACTTTCGACTCGGGAGGTAATGTTCGTCCATCCGACTCTTGATATGCCAAACAGTATAAAGTATACTGGAAGTCTACTGGATTCTATCAGGTGGACAACCACTAGACGTCCTTATGCAGCTGAGAAATTGCAGCTCTATATTAAAGTATATGCAGAGAGTTTATACGTCCTCAGCTGTGTTCAACCTACGATACTCACAGCCACACTTCGTTTGGTGTACAGAAATTTGGTCGAGACGATGATGATTTCCTCCAGAAACATTGTGGAGATTGAGATCGTTATGATTTGGTCCTGCAAAGAGGTGTGGAAGCTTCACTTTGTGTCTCAGCAGGCACTTACTTGCTTGAGAGCAATAGTACGACATATCGACAACCTCCCCCGATCAGATGGATGGAGTAGCACCCTACTTTGTTGGATCCTGAGCTTGCTGCGTAGCTGAGACTGCGTACTAAGTTGCCTATCTTTCTGGTCCTCAGAAGCGGAGGACAAGATGCTGGAGACTCAGTTAGAGGACTGAAAAATAATGGGCGCACGTTCTATGAAGCGGATTAGCTTCGTTGATAAATTTGTCCACACGTATAAATTCCTCAAGGTGCATGTACGAGGCCCTCCTTGGGCTGGATTTACATGGACGCTCAGTTGGTCTACATATTGTACCATTCAAATGTACAATGTGTAGACCAACTCAGATGTCAGGCCGACCGCAAAATCGTCGATATTTGTACACAAGGTGTAGTATAAAGCATAGGTCAATGCCAAAGATATGACAGTCGCACAAACCTGGTGTCTCCAAGTAATTCAATCTAACCCAGTGGGTGTCGAGAGGGTCGACAAACTTCTGATATGCATGCTTGATGTCTAAGTTCTCAAAACAGCGCTAACGTGCCAAATTCTTTCTTTTTAGAGTCCGCAAAGATGGGTGTCCAAAAAAAAAGTTCCGAATATATGATGTCTTCCGTTCTAACTTTGCTAAACTCAGCTATCGACCCAACCGTTCCCTTCATGATTTCACACAGAAGATACCTAGTAACGCATCAGAAAATATGGAAGACCTCATAAGTCTTACACAGATGGAAACGTACAGGGGATTTTGGTTCTATGTTTCCGAGTCATCATCGCAACGCATTCTTGCAGTGACACGATCTACATATTTGAGAGGAAAGGCTAGGAAAATTGTTTAACATGATTGTTATTTCATGGGTTGCGCTAGTCATGATCTTCATACATTAATGGAAACAAATGATTTCATTCTGATTTTACAGTATAAGCAATAAATGATTTCATTCTCTTTCAGTATGGTGAATTTTTTTAGATCTGCTCACGAAAGTGTTGAAGTTATTTTCTGTATGATTTTAGATTTAACTTCTCTATATACTACTTAGAGTTTGGTAGTTGGATTCTATTATGAAGTCTATATTTCATGAGATATATTCTAAGTTTTGGTTAAATAAATGGAGATTGGATCTGAATATAATATTTATTTTACACATAATTGTTCATTGAGTTTTGAATGATCAAATAAAACTTATGAAAAATATCAATGTTAAAGTCAATGTTTTGTACTTATGGATATCATTCGATATCATTCGATAAATCAAGACCTAGAGAGATAAATCGATTTGAAGCATGATACCGACATGTTGGAAGAAATATGGACTTCCGAATCATGAAAGATAGAGGACATACTGGAACTGGGTTGGCACTCGTCGCCAACGATATGAGCCTTAAGACGGTAGAGCTAGAATGGGAAACACAACGTACAGTTGAGTGGTTTGGTCTGCCCGTCATTGTCAAGGTTGGATCTCGACACATTCCTTGGTTTGATGAGGATTGTGGTTGAAAGCGAGTCCCGGGAGCTTATACATCGTTACACAAAGGAAGAAGGACGGACAGTGAATTAGATTCTGAAGGAGTAACCAAGCTCACAATCAATGCAATGATTGAGCTATGACTCCGCACTGTGAATTGTAGTTCTGTACTGTATTGTGAGGACAGATCGCATCTATAGATGCGAAAGGAATAATTTGTCTTATTGCTTGCGGGGTCAGTCTGATGCAAAGGATCAGACAGACGACACTTTTCTTGATTGACCGTATTCCAGAGTAACATCAAGGGACGGAGTGACTCAATGGTCATCCAGTAAGAGCGAGGTGCGAACTACCCAAAGCCAATTCTCCATCCATTGACCAGTCTGAAGGGAGCTCTTCTCCATCCAACTCGACCTGACTCGACATCGAGTGATGGGTCGTTGAGTTACAGCAAGGTGTGATCACACCTTGCTGTCATTCCCCAGCCACCGCCTTTGACCAATATGATTCTGACTATTCTTCAGAGACCCTAGCTTCCATGCACAATGACTTCTGAACTCCCCTCTGCCGTTCAGTGGGCCTTTGCTTTCACCTCATCTCACGTCTCAATCTTGACTACTCTAAATCTCATATTCGGTCTAAGTTTGTCACTCGTTGCTTTTGGGAATCAACCTGGTTTCTATTAAAGCAAACCTCTTTTGCTTAATTTTTGTTTCATCCGATGTCCTGTTAGAAAAGCGCAAAAAGATTGCAGGTGCAGCAGACAGGAGGATTGGATTCGATCAAAAAGAGTGTGATAGGCTTGCTGCACAAGAGGGAATATAGTTGAAAGATTTTTCACAAATCTAGTTAGAATTACACAATTGAATTTTTAAACAAACACCTTGCAACATATTTTTTTTGATACATATGATTAGAATTTTGTAGAATTTATATAAGATTATTATTTTATGATTGGTAAATAACTAAATTTTTTGAGTAAAAATTATCTTTCAAGCTGATTAAAATTAGTACTTATAAACTGCTTCGGAATGAAAGAATTTTTGTCATTTTGAAGAGATGACAAATTTTATTCAGAAAAAAATATTTTTTGTTTTCACTCAAACGGCCTGCCATTAGGTCTATCGCTGATTTTCACAGAACAAGGATGAAGAGGTAAGATTCAAAATATGGCAGCTTGGGTGTAGCTTTGAAGTTGAGTATTTGAAAGTGTGGATATGATGAATATCAAAAAGTGAGGAAGTATTGAATATTTAAAGTGGTTATATTTGTGGTTTACCGATACTTCAAAATAATTTCTCTCTTTTCCAGATAATTTGATGGTGGCAACTTTTCTTGCTTGTTGTATATGTGTGTCGCCTGGACTATTATTTAAGTTGAAATTGTTTAGCAAGCTTATTTAAACCATGTATATTGAAGAAAGAGAGGGAGAGGGAAAGGGTTGATGCAGTAAATGTAGGAGTACTACTATAATTATCTTTCGATCTCACTTCCATATTCATGAGGAAAAGACTTCCACTATGGCTTATAGAATGTGAAGATAGAAATGTAAATTTATGATCTGATTACATCATATCACAAGCTACTGGATGATCTGATTACAAGATACTGGAAGTAATTGCTACATGTAATAGATGGGTGGTGTTGTTGTTGAATAGTTAACTCAGACAAAAGAATATCAATAATTAAAAAATTTCTGTGCTTTATTTCTCTAAATAGGTTTCTTTGAAATATACAATATCTTGAGTAAGAGCTGGAGAAGAATTGTGTAATCTGAGCTTATTATTTTATCTCTAAAAAATACGAAATTGATAATCTAAACGAGCTATGAAGGTTAAAAAAATGTACGTTGAGCTGATTCTAAGAGCGTAGGCCGTGTGAATGATTTATAAATTTTGAAGAGAGATGCAAGGATCCAAAATAATGTAAGATATGTGCTTATGTTTGTGATGAATAGGTAGGGGTAGATAATAAAATCTGTGATTACTCTATAGAACAATCTTTTAGTTTTGTTGGTGCGCGATAAAATCCTGAACTAGAAACAGGCAGACCATTGAACTTACATCAATCCGAGAAGGAGCATAAGTATCGTGTTTCGTCTCCAAGGTGTGCATTAGGTGAGGATCGACAGGAATGAGCCCCATAGCCGTAGATTATGTTGTTGCGGAATGACGTACGAGGCTGGAAAGATTATGAACCATCCGGGCACAAATAATAGAGAGATGCGCGTGCTTCCATCATAAAGATTGTATACTTAAGGCATAGAAGTTGAGTTAGGTGAGGATCGTCATCAAATAAAGCGAAGTCTTCTCGCAGTGTTTGGGACAATAATGGCTGTCGATGGAATACTGTCTTCTTTGGACTGGACAGGCTTGTGCTAAATAAAGAGATCATGGGTATGTAAAATGTTGTTCTCACAGGTAAGAGTGATAAGCAGGAAGTGTTGAGAAGATTCCGCATCCTGTGCTAACAGCCAATATCTAAGTTCGAGTGTGAACGAAAATTCAAGACATTAATGAAGGTCTTCGTGTACTTACTAGGGAAAAAGTTGTCAAAAGAATAAAACAGCAAGGGACCATCAAGTTTTACGGTGATGGAACCGAATGGTTGACGTGGTGAGGCAAAGTAACGATTTCTCTGGCCATCGAAATTACTTGTTGCCATGCTGGACACATGCGTCATGGGACCTAGAGAGAAGTTGGTAATTTGTGAATTACTGATCAATCAGTGCGTTATAGGTTCATAATGTGCAAATTTGCACTGTCATTGCGAATCTCTCATCTCGTGGAGTTTTATATACTGAAGAAGCAATCCATCTGAATCGTTGACTTTTCCAACTTATGTTCTTGATGATGAGTGGACAGTCAACCATGCGAGCTATTAAGAGTGAAGAGTGGATGCAGTATTCGAAGTGCAGTTGATGACGTTTCACCAAATAATGTCCTCGAACAGCACGGGTACATTATACTGTAATCTGCCACTGGGACTCTAAATCGGATGTCCAGTCTTGGTAACTAATAAAAAACTAAGAGTTTAGCAGGTAGTAACTCAGTTTCGAAGAAATTGCCTGCTTCATGCATACAGCTCGAGCATTTGTGGTCTTTCAGGAAGGCATTTGCTTGAAGTTTCTGCATAGTCGGAAAAGCTTCGAGCTCTTGGTAGCAGCTGTTGGATCGGGTCAGGACTAGTATATGGCAAGTCTCAACGAGAAGATCATGTCGCTCGTAGATCTCGTCCACAGTGGAAGGAAGAGCAGCGATAGGGTACAAGACGTGACGGAATTATTGGCTCCGAAGTTCTTTCTGAGGAGTCAGCGCGATTACAGCAGATGTGCCAAGATTCCATAAAGTGCCCAAAGGAGGAGGAGTTGCTTTGAGTGGCCAAACATGTTCGATGGTCCCTGTCCTATCAACTCGTGTTGGTCCTGTGACGATTTGGTTGCTTGAGTTCTGAATCCCCAATGGCCTCCTCACCCACATGGTGGTGGACTCGTTCGTCCTCAGAATGACGTGGCTCCAAGGACTGTCTCTAGCACATGAACCCGATGCAATTTTGGCCTGACCGACCGAGATTGCATCCACGTCCAACCAACCCTCTTCTGGGCCTTGGCACTTTCTGTGATGCATTATTGAACTGAGTGACAATGTGCACTGGAGCTCCAGAACCAAGCTTCTCAGGTTCCTAGCTTGGGCAGTTGCGTCGAAAGGGAATGTGACGAATGCCAAAGACTCACAGCAATTCGTGGTGTATGTTCGGCCTTGTAGATGTTGCGCGAAGTGGGGGCCAGTGACCACTTTGTTGTGTACTAAGGGGTGCTTGACTTCTGAAGCGAACTTCTCACTTCACAGTTTGTAGCCGTGGAGAATAATTTAATCCCATGCTTGCACCAAATGTCGAGCACTGAAGGAAATTTCGGCTAGTCCCAGGTGTTGATGGTGCGACTGGCCAATCATTCCTTGCGTTATGCAGCTGAGCAATGAACCCCGAGGTCGTCAAGCTCATACACAACAACTACGAACTACCTGAAGATATGATTCAGCTCGATGTTCCTCGCATCTTAGTGGACATCTAACATGCACCTCTGGACATCCGACTTGGAATGTACAGAGTCTGAAGTACACGAACATTTTGATGGATGTTCCCAGAATGGTGTAACAGTGAACTTCAAGTCAGAATGTCATAGACTTGTGGTTCCGACCATCTACGCTTGGGCAATGAAACATAACAGTCAGATTGAAGCCCCTCATTCACTCGAAAGGTCAGGTCAGGTGATTACGAAGTACCACCATTGTCCAGGAGAGAGAACCGCACCGTATCTGATCGAGGTCGCAAAGTTTCTCAATGTGCCGAATGATCACATTCTGGACTACTGTCAGTGTGCACATACATGTCCTGCT